AGCTCTATATGGATAGGGTCATAGGGATAAGCATTGGATATTCTTTGACTCGATTATACATATGAATGTGGCCGCACCTTAATGTTAGGTTCCCTGTGTATCCGTTAGGAATCAGGCCGAACGTAGCTCTAACCGAACTTTGCACAAGTGTGTGTACACCTCAAAGAGGTCTTTCAAGGGCTGTTATGGTTAAGTTGATGGTTTAAGGAAGAAAGGGGTAAAAGGCACAAGACCCAAGAGAAGCCCCCAAGATATGCAATTATGTATTGGACTTTGCAAGTTTTATTCTTCATATATATTTTTTTTGTTTTGAATTTCTTTTTTTTTATTCTTTCAAATCAATGTAGGCAATCTCAGATTATGCGGTCCATCACGTACTTAGCAGTCATGTTTCTCAAGCATGGTACCAAGCACTCGATGAGATACGCAATTTGAGACGTGTTCGTATCCAAGACATTGGAACACTTGCCCTTAAACATTGTTTTATTGTTGCTTTGCTGCTTTTTTTTTACTTGCCTTTTGAATGTTACACAAATTTCACACTTTCCCATCCCAGGGCTAAGTGAATGTGGGTTGAATAAATAAAGTCAATCGTTAGACGAGGCTCAAAGTGGTTGATGAAGCTAGAAATGGATATGTGATTGAATGGTTAATGGGGAATGAATGGGTTGCAAAATTACCTCAAATCATTGGTATACCTTGTGTTCGGTTCGACAATTGTTTTTTTTTTTTGGTAAAAATGATCGGGATGTAAAGAATATTTAATTTATTGATGAAAATGGTGAATAATCTAACAAAATTATCAAATTACAGAAAGGGAAATCTATGCTAGAGAGTTGGGGAAAGGGAAACTAATAAAAAGAAGAAATCATGAAATCATGCGCGAAGGGCTTTGCTCCATTTTAAAATAATAATTAATAATAACAATAATAACAATAATTAATCTTCAATATTAATAATAATATTGTGTTGATAATAATAATTTATTATTTTAAATAATTATAATAATTATTAATATTAATAGTAATTAATATTTATTATTTCATAATAATAATTAATAATAATAATCAATAATAATAATAATAAAAATTCAAAATTCAAAATATTAAGTTAATATTTAATAATATTATTAATTAATAATTTCTAATAATTATAAAAATTCTTGAAAAAAATAATAATAACAATTTCTATTTATTTTTTAGAAATAAAAATAATTTCAATTTATACTATTTACTGAGAATAATAATAAAAAACAATTAATATTTTTAAAGGGAATGGTAATACTTAATATATTTTTTTGAAAAGAAACACTTAATATTTTATAATAATACTAAATACATAATTTTATTTAATAATAATAACCAATGATATAAAAAGAATAAAAAAAACTACAAAAAAATTATGTGCTTTAAAATATGTGATAACAACGACCAAAGCGACAATTAAGATGATAACAACGAAGATCAAAGCGACAATGAAAATGATGAAAATGACGATCATACCGAAGTAGATGGTTAATTAACCACAATGATGTTAAACTCTTATCTAATTAGGTTCTTATTTTGATATACGGTTGTAATAATTTAAAAATGTTAAACAATTGTCTTGTATCTTTCTACTATTAACATATTTTAGGGAATATTTCAAGCATCCTACACTTGAACCCCACTGTGATCATACACTTAAGCATGGTGGCATCCAAAGGGAAGGAAGCTAGAGCAAAAGAGTCGCCAATAAGTTTTAGGAACTTGTAAACCGTTCACAGGGTGAAGGTTACACCCCTTCACGATCCATGAGATCGCTAACTCCATAGTGGTCTGGAACCATGATTGGATATTCGCGGATGAAGGTACAAATCCAACCTAAAAGAGATTGAACATTCCCTAAAAATAGGCCTTTACTCTATTATTCTCATATTCATGTGAGCTTTTTGAGTAACATACAATCAATATATTAATCTTAAACCTGTTTAATCTATGTAGGTTGAATATTAATGCACAAACAAATCTATTATTGGCGATCACTTGAATTATAATCAAAGTAGCCTAAACAAGTTTATTAATTATCTTATTAAGCATGATTACAAGTACAAATTCCCTTAAATCATGCATAAAAGGTGTGATCAAGCAATAACAACAATATATCATGCAACATAATAATAACAACAATCATCATCATCATAATTTCAATAAAGCATAATAATATTAGCAACATCCTAGGCATGATACTAGCAAGATTAATAACAAATCCTAGCATGTCACTAATAAAAATCAAAGCTTTAACCCTAATATGATACTAATATGATAGAAAGAAAGAAATAGAAAGCAACTTAAACATGATACTAGAAATAAATAAACAATATCCTAACATGATACTAGGAATTAAAATAATCAAAGTATAATTTCTATAGAAAAAGAATAATTAGAGTAATTACTTACTTCGATGCACAAACAAATCTATTATTGACGATCACTTGAATTATAATCAAAATAGCCTAGACAAGATTATTAATTATCTTATTAAGCATGATTACAAGTACAAATTTCCCTTAAACATGCATAAAACGCGTGATCAAGCAACAACAATAGTATATATCAAGCAACATAATAACAACAATCATCATTATAATAATCTCAATCTCATAATAATAGCAAGATCCTAGGCATGATAATAACAAGATTAATAACAAACCCTAGCATGTCACTAAGCAATAAAGATCAAATCTTTATCCCGAACATGATACTAACATGATAGAGGAAAGAATAGGAAGCAACCTAAACATGATACTCGAAATAATAAAAACATCCTAACATGATACTAGGAATTAAAACAATTTAAACATGATTTCTATATCAAAAGAGCAATTGAAGTAATTACTTACTTGGATGCCTCGTATCTCTTTCTAATAACAAATTGCATACGTTAGTAACTTCAATGAAAATATTAAATCAAATAATTAAATTAAATAATCGAAATAGGGATTTGGGACCAAACTCTCAGAAATTATCAACCTTTGACGTCAAGGGCGAAGGCAACTTCGAACTTGGCTAGGTGTGCCTAGAAATTGTGAATGAGGAATTTTGTATTTCGTAAAAAGGTGTAGAAGGGATTAGAAAGAGGGAGAAAGAATAAGCTTTCTAGTTAAAGTGAGAAAAGAATAAAATTAGATGGTTGTGAATGAATAAAAATGGGGAAATACGACTCCTATTTATAAGAAAATAGTCTGGAATCGATGGAAACAAATCAAAATTTGAATCGGAATAAAACTGATCCCTGTCGCCAGCGACAGAGCCCATCGCGAAACGACAAGGATAGCGCATGGCGACAGGCTCTATCGTTTGGCGACATGCTCTTTCGTTTGGCGACAGGCTTGCCGTTTAGAGCTGGTTAAAAGATAAAAGGCGATTTTGTACGGAATACTCTTCTTAAAATAATTAAGCAAATCAACTCCTTTTTGATTAATTTTAAATCAGATTATATCAAAATAAAACACTTGTTTTATTTCAAACCAAATTCATTACTTTTCTAAAAGAACAATTATCAATCCTAATGCTATTAGAACACAAAATAACCTTCTAGACTATTCTAGAAGACTATAATCAATCCTAATAATTTTAGGAATAATAATTAATGGGCCCTCCACTAGATCATTGGGCCATAAAACAATTTCATACCCAAATTAGTATTTGAACCATACCTTCCTCATTATTCATGGAATTGGGCTTATAATATATCATTGGAAAGCTCTTCACAAGCCTGATCCGACTACACTATTAATGGACCCTTATCATGGACCAATTAAAATTGGACTGGCTATTTCCATAAATAGAGAAAATTTTCAAAAACAGAAAGAAATATTTTTATTAAAACTAACAAATCACAAGACTTTTCACACTTTCACCTTATTCGATAATCAAGCGACGTGAAAAGTATTCATCACTGAGTTTGGTTTTTGGGGAGACACAGATGGGTGTCTACAGAAGCCTTCACTTTGACTGAGTTTGGAGAAACGTATGTTTTGAAAACAAAAGTCAAAGTAGTGATAGGGACAGAGAATGATTCAGAACATTCTGTGATCCTAAGTCATTCTTATAACGCTAATACCTGCGAACTAGCGTTAGTTAAACAGATAGAGGAGTAAAAAAACGCGTATGTTGCACCGTCGAGCACACGTCTCTAGGGTAAGCGATTTTGTTGTTGTTTTTGTTGTGACAACCTTCACATTGCCTCGTGAACACCATCGTCGAAGATCGCTGCTTGTAGTTATCCTCGATTGTTTGTGACAATTGTTTCGGAGTTTTTTGTGTCCCGTGGGAGATACAACTCGAAGACTGGATTCGACAAAGGCGCATGTACCTGCAAAACGAACGGAGCTCCTAATGGTTAGAGGTCTGCTCTAAAGATTAAGTTAGTACGGAATCGGAGTAAAACGTGCGGAAAGTAAGTTATCTGCTAGGATTCCAAGCTCAGGTGTTCTATGTTTTAGAGAGCAATAAATATCCTAATGATTAAGAAATAATAATTTCAAGGTGTGAAAGTTTCAAGGTGCCCCAATAATTGGGGGAATCGCCCTATTTATAGGGTCCTAGAAAAAGTGCCCTACCCTAGCGTTTGATGAACTAGGGATTAGGACAGCGCCATTTTGCGGCGCCCTTGGAATTTGGGCCTTGTAGGCCGCCATTTCCAGGGGGCATATCTGAGTGACACGTGTCGTCCATCTAGAGAGTCCATTTAGACGCCTTTCAAAGGGACACGTGTCACTCTCTTATTGGTCCACTTGGAAGTATTAAATACCCCAAATCGTTTGCCCCTCACAGGGGTGACGTGGCATGCCACGTGACGCCTATGATAGGTGTCGGCCTCTGATTGGCCGAATATTCACTTTTCACTTGTAACACCCCCAAATTACTCTCTAATATTTAACAATTCTAATCAAACCTTAGGGAGTAAAATGGGAGTATTACCGCCACGTGATTACGTAAGGCTTAACAGAGTTTTGCAGCGGAAAATAGTACTTATCTTTTATTAATAACAATAGTAATAATAATAGTTTGATACACTTTCAAAATAGCTACATCACTAATACTATGTTTACTAAATTAAACTAGGTGATCACCGCCCATCATTCCCAATGCAGCATATAGTTCACGTTGTCCGATCGCCATCACCTATCTACTTATCAAACTGATAAGCAGGGCCAAGCCAAAACAAACACAAATACGTATTAGCCAAAATGCTAAGTACATACAAACGCTAGACATGTAAAATCAATTTAATTAATTAAACATGCTTTCGAAGAGATTTAACTTTAATAAATCATAATTTATCCAAACCATTTCTGAATAGAAATTCATGTATAAATAAACTTGTCAAAAGAACCAATTTCCGAAATAACCAACTTTCAAAAGATAATTCCGAATAGGATGGATCAGTCCATATTTTCATAAATCATTTTCCCATCTAAGTGTGAACATCCCCTAAGATAGTAACTCATTTACAAAGTGCTATCACGGGAAAATACTAGGTCATACAAAGTCCATAGTCTTCAACTTACTCCGCATAGTGGGAGTTAAAAATCCAAAGATCCAAGGAGTAAATCCCGTTAAATAAACTTTCCAATATCCCATACTCGGGATAATTTAAACAATAAAACTTCCTTTTTAAAACATCTTGAATATCAGTATAAGTTTATAATCAATCATATAAAATATTTAAATATTTGAGATCAAACACTTAAACATGTTTCACCAAAATATATTTCACAATCATTTAAACATGGTTCGAAATCACTTAACACGTAAATCATGTTGCATATAAAAGTCACTTTTTAAAAGATCTAGCCACATGTACGTACCTTGATCTTTGAACACAATTACGGAGCTCCTAATTTTGAACCCGAAATTCCTCCTATAACAATCCTAATCAAATACTTTTCAACCCATAGACACAAGGACTTAGACTATCGCCCTTGACTAGTTGTGCATGAACAATTTATTATCATAACCCTTTTATAAAATTAACACTTTTATTCATGAAATTATCTTTAATAATCCATAAATAATAATAATAATAATAATAATAATAATAATAATAATAATAATAATAATAATAATAATAATAATAATAGTACGTAGGTGGTAGTGGTAGCAAAAATATCAACAGCAACAACTACAATACTAACAACAACAAAAACAACAACAAGAAGAAGAAGAAGAAGAAGAAGAAGAAGAAGAAGAAGAAGAAGAAGAAGAAGAAGTAGTAGTAGTACGTAGCATAGGTGTAGTAGTAGTAGTAATAGTAGTTGAGAGTAGTAGTATTAGTAGTACTTAGTAGTAGTAATAAAATGAGAAATACATGGCTTACTTACGGTGAGCAACGCAAGGAAAGAGATGACAACAAGGTGGTGGTCGAATGGCGGCGGTGTGGCGGCAGCGAGGAGGTGCTTGTGAGGAGCTCAAGACCACAAATGGAAGCTAAAAGGAGGTGATTATGGAGGAGGAAGGAGAAAGGAGTAGGAAAGTAAGAAGAGGAGTAGGAGATGTGATGAAAATATCTCATGTTCCATGGCTATTTATAGGGAAGTTTGGTACTACTTCAAGGCATTCAATGAAGGAGGCAAGTGGGCAAGTGGGTGGGTTTTCCCCCCTTTGCCGACATGATCAAATTAATTTTTTTTTAAATATATATATATATGTATATATATATATATATATAAAAGTAGTATGCTAGGAAAATTTATGTACAAATTTTGTGTAGTACTAGTGTACTAATATAAGAATTGAAATGGCGAACTTGGTACTATGTCATCCGAATCGGGTACAACTTATTAACGGTTGAAAATCTAATTTTTGGATACGAAAATTTTTGACTTGACTCGTATAATTAAAATTATTATAAAATATAGGTATAAAATTATCATATAAATATTTTGTATGATAAAATATTTCGGAAAATCCATATTTAGTGACTTGAAAATACGGGGTATTACAGTCTACCCCCCCTTAAAAGAAGTTTTGACCTCGAAACTTAAGTTGAAAATAAGTAAAATTATTTGAATTGTTCAAATTGACTCATGCACAACCTACAATGACTTGGAACAACTTAAACTATGAATTAGGTATAACACATAACAACTCAAAATGACTCAAAACTAACCAAAAAGGGCAAAAGCGTGAAACTCTATTGCATTCTACCGCCCTTAAAAGGAGTTACGCCCCCGTAACTCGACTACTGACCTCAGAAAACAACTCTGGGTATCTTTTCCTCATATCTGATTTGGCTTCCCAAGTAGCTTCCTTGGTTTTATGGTTTGACCATAAAACCTTAACTATCTTAACATCCTTGTTTCTAGTGCTTCTCACTTTACTATCCAAAATCTTCACAGGTCTTTCCTCATAAGTCAAATTTTCGTCCAACTCGATGGTCTCAAGCTTTAAGACATGGGAAGCATCTGGTATGTATACTTCCGAATTTGGCTCACATGGAACACATTGTGAACTCTTTCTATCTCGTTAGGCAAATCCAACTTGTATGCTACTCTTCCCACCTTTTGGATGATCTCGTATGGTCCAATACTTGGGGCTCAACTTTCTTCTCTTCCCGAACCTCATTACTCCCTTCATTGGAGATATTTTCAATAAAACTTTCTCACCTACTTCGTATTCTTCATCCCTCCTTTTCAAATCTGCATAGCTCTTTTGTCGATCTTGTGCGGCTTTTATTTTCTCCTGAATCATCTTACTTGTTTCACCATCTCTTCGATCATTTCGGGCCCAAGTGTAACAGTCTCGCTTATGTCGTTCCAACATATCGGGCTTCTACACTTCCGCCCATACAAAGCCTCGAATGGCGCCATCCCGATTCTTGCATGATAACTGTTGTTGTAGGAAAACTCTATTAAGTCCAAATGATCTTCCCATAAACCCTGGTACTCCATAACACATGATCTCAACATATCCTCTAATGTCTGTACTGTTCTCTCTGTTTGACCATCGGTTGTGGGGTGGAATGCAGTGCTCATCAACAACTTAGTCCCCATATCCTTTTGTAAACTCTTCTAGAAGTTGGATAAGAACCTTGAGTCTCTATTCGAGATGATGTCCTTCGGCACACCATGGTATTTCACCACAAATTTCACATATGCTCTTCCCAATTGATCCATCGACCATGTACTCCTCATGGGTATGAACGTTGCACACTTCGTTAGTCGATCCACTACGACCCAAATCGTATCATTTCCCGCTCTAGTCTTTGGTAAAGCTCCTACGAAATCCATAGAGATCGAATCCCACTTCCAACTAGGAACCTCCAAGGATTGAACTGTTCCTTAGGGTCTCTTATGCTCGATTTTAACCTTTTGTCAAGTTAAACATCTAGCCACTTCCCTTTTCATATTCGGCCACCAGGATGTCTTTTTCATGTCCTTATACAACTTATCCCCTCCGGGATGCATTGAATAAGGAGAACTATGAGGTTCCTCCATCAACCTTTGCTTCAAATCACCTCGATTATACGGAACACACCATCTCCCTTTAAAACTCATGCTTCTGTCATCAGCTATTGCAAAGTCCAATATTTGCCCTTCCTCGATCTTTTCATTAATCTTGTTCAACTTCTCGTCCCCAAGTTGACTTTCTCGAATTTCATCATAATTCGACGGTTTGCTCAGCAAGGCACCCAAAATTTTCTTCACCTCTCCTTGTTCCAATACCTCCAAATTCATCCTTTGGAACTCCACACATAATTGATCTGGTAGGATCATCGCGTTAACTGCATGACTTGACTTCCTACTTAATGCATCAGCTACAGCATTCGCTTTCCCTTCATGATACTGAATCTCCAAGTCGTAATCCTTAATAAACTCCAACCATCGCCGTTGTCTCATGTTCAACTCCTTTTGAGTGAATATGTAATTCAAACTCTTGCGATCGGTGAAAATCCTACATGTCTCTCCGTACAAGTAGTGTCTCCAAATTTTCAATGCAAATACAATTGTGGCTAACTCCAAGTCATGGGTCTGGTAATTCACCTCATAAGGCTTCAACTGTCTCGAGGCATAAGCAATCACCTTTCGATTTTGCATCAACACACAACCTAACCCGAACTTTGACGCATCACTATACACCTCATATTGCTCACTTCCATCAGGCAGGGCTAACACAGGTGCCGTAGTCAACTTCTCTTTTAATGTTTGAAAAGCCTTCTCACACTCTGGAGTTCACTTATACTTAAATTATTTCCTCATTAAGCTCGTCATAGGCCTTGCAATTCTTGAGAAATCCTTAACAAATCTCCTATAATAACCTGCTAACCAAAGAAAACCCCGAACATCTGACACACTCCTCGGGGTCGGCCATTCACTCACAGCCTTTACCTTTTCTGGATCCATCGAAACTCCTTCCTTAGAAATCACATGACCTAAGAAGGCTACCTCTTCCAACCAAAATTCGCACTTTGAGAGATTGGCGTACAATTGATGCTATCTCAAGGTTGACAATACCGCCCTCAAATGATCCTCATGCTCTTCTCGATCCTTCGAATACACCAAAATATCATCGATAAATACCACAAAAAACTTGTCCAAGTATGGCCTAAAAATTCGGTGCATTAGATCCACAAAAACAGCAGGTGCATTGGTTAACCCAAATGGCATTATAGTGAATTCATAATGACCATAACGATTCCTAAAAGCGCTTTTTGCAATGTCCGACTCTGCTATCCTCAACTGATGATACCCCGACCTCAAATTGATCTTTGAAAATATTCCCGCCCCTTTTAACTGGTCGAACAAATCATCAATCCTAGGTAGAGGGTACTCATTTTCACTGTCACATTATTCAACTCTCGGTAATAAATACATAGCCTCAAGCTTCCATCCTTCTTCTTTACGAACAACACCGGTGCACCCCATGGTGATGAACTCGGTCGAATGTATCCTTTCTCCAGCAAGTCGTCTAACTGGGTCTTCAACTCTTTCATCTCAGCCGGGGCCATCCTATATGAAGCCTTTGAAATAGGTCATGTCCTGGTCACTAAGTCTATATTAAACTCAACATCCCTCATAGGTGGCATCCTTGGAATTCTTTCGGGGAAAACGTCAAGAAATTCATTTACTATTGGAATGTTTTTCCCATCATCTCCATCTCCTTCTTCTATCCTCTGGACACTACACATATACAGTGGATGTCCTTTTGCTACACACTTCTTAAGTTGCAAAGCAGATATGATTTTTAACCCTAATTTCCTCCTCTCCCATCGATAGGTTACTCTAACTTTGCTCGGGCCACACAATGTGACCTTTTGGGCCTCGCAATCAATTTGGGCCTTGTACTTGCCCAACCAGTCCATCCACAAAATAACATCGAGATCTTGTAAGTCAAGCTCGATTAACAAGAGGTACACTCTGATGCATCTTAGTACAATTCACCACTTCCCTTGATGGGATAGGAATATCTAAGGAAACAGACACCGGAATCTCTAACTTGAGCATATCTACTAAACTTCTAGAAATAAAAGAGTGAGACGCCCCTGAATCAAATAAGACTTTAGTAGACATAGAACAAATAAAGAAATTTGTAATTACCTTATCAGAAGCAGTTGCAGCCTCACGGCTGTTCATAACGAACACACGACCCTTGGGAGCAGCTCCACTGTTGTTGTTGGGTCTAGGCTTAGGATTGAATCCGCTGGGATGGGTTGGCTTGGGTTGGTTCTTCTCATCTTGGAGTTTACCCGATTGCTCATCTGAAACCTTCTTGTAACACTCATACTCATGGTGGCCTAGCTTTTGGCAGTAGCGGCAGGTCATTAGGTTTCCCTCACAATCCTTTCCAGGGTGGTTTTTCGCACATCTCTTGCAAAAATAGGTTCTCTTGGGTTTGTCTCCATTCCCTCGGTTCTCATTTCCTCTTTCAAAATTACCCCTGATGTCCCTTTTCTCATTAAAATTCCCACTCGGGTTCCCCTCAACCTTGGGTTTCTTCTCACTCCCATTGAAAGCTCCACTAGGCTTCCTCTTTTTCCCAGAATAGTTTCCCTTAGCTCTCTCCCTTTGATCCCATAAAGGTGCGTTGCCCTCCCGTAAACCTCATCTAAGGTCTCAAAAGTCACTCCTCCCAATTTCCCTTGAAGGGTTAAAGTCAAACCTTGCTCAAACCTCCGGGCCTTAAGCGCCTCAGTTGGCACTACCTTAGGTGAAAATCTCATTAACTCAATGAACTTGCTATAATACTCATTAATCGTCATGTTCCCCATCCTAAGGGTTGTAAACTCCTACACTTTTGTTTCCTCAAATAGGCAGGGTAAAACTTCTCTCTCAAAGCTTCCTTTAATTGAGCCCACCCAAAGTTAGAATTACTCAATAAGTCATCTCTCCTTTGACTCCACCACAAATCGGCTTCCTCTCTAAGGTAATAAACAACATTATTGACTTTTAGCTCCTCGGGGTAATTAATAGCATAAAAAAGTTTATCAAATTCTCTCACCCAATTTTCTAATCTTGCTGGGTCTACTTTGCCAAGGTAAGTGGGTGGTTTGGCCGCAGCTATTCTTTTAAAAACTTCCCCAAAAGCATCAAGGTCATTATGGGCTTTTCCCTGGTTTGAGAGAATACCGCTATGTTTTCGGTTATTTTGGTTAGCCTTTTGATGACAGAGCTGACCTTGGAACTACTCCCTTTCTTAATTCGTTGCCTTAGAGACGTGATCCTGAATAATGTGGTAATTAGACACATGAATTTACAAACAAATTACTCATCCATCCAACAAAGACTCAGAGATGTGATAACTTTACTGTTCACAAAATATCTTGAATACTAAACGTTCATCAATTTAGCTAGCAAGTCTAAATTGCCTTTTTTAGAAGCAACTCTAAGTAAGATCTCAAAATAAATTATCACAAGATTTATCATAATTTTCATACAATTATAATACACAAATTAACAAAACACTTCATCATATAATTCACATAAGAGTGCAATTCACCTTCCAATCCTTTTCCAATTTAGGAATAATTATCGAATCATAATCCATGATCCTTCACTAATATACTCATCTTAATCCATTTCAAAATTTAATTTGAACCTTTATATCCTAAAACATAGTTTGGACATTTGCTTAGTCCATATGCACATAATTCACGTAAAGTTCGATATCATTTTTGAATACGTTTCAAACTCTTTAATTTCGGAAATATTATATGTATATATATATAGTTATAAGTTGAATACTTGCTTCATTATGTGGATTAATTGGACCAATGAGATCCTAGGTAGGAGAGGTTAGGGACGACGTTGCCCTGAGCCCAAGTTGATTAGGGGATTTTTATCCACCAATCACCGTTGGACAAGTGGACCAACCAGGTTCCGCCACGTGTCCTTCACGTAGGCCAATAGGAGCCTGCCACGTGTCGATCACAGATATGTCCTCTACGGACCAATTGAGACACGCCACGTGTCCACCCATGCCAAATGGGAAAACCGGCCAACAAGGCCCAATCCTGTCTAGAGGCCCGGTCAGCCCTAGGTTTACCCTAAACCTAGAGAGTGGCACGCTTCTCAAGACTATAAATACTTAATTAATCCTCATTAAAGGGGATCAAGCAAACATCAAGCAATTAATCTCACCTGAAGAATAGAGAAGAACAGAAACATTACGGAACACTAATAACCGGCTAATCTCGCTAACAAAGCAGATTACCTACATTAAACACTCTCACCTAGAGAGGTCTTATTACTTTAATTTCCGTATTAATTACTCCTTAATTAGGTACTAACTTGACCGTTGGAGGCGGAGCTCTCAGGAGTCTCCGTTATTTTGCAGGTACAGGCGTCCGGTTCCAGTCTCGGAATTATAACTCTCCCGCAGGACATCAGAAAACCCCGAAACATTTGGCGCCGTCTGTGGGGAGAGTACTTCAGAGATGGCATCCAAGTCTGTACCGACTCCTGAAGAGAGGCGTCCCCTAAACGACCCTCAAGTTCAGTCGGACCATGACACCGAAAGTGAATTTGAAGTTGAAACTCATACAGCTCCAGACGGGACCCTAAGGGCCCGACGTACCCGTCATACCGAAAAGAGGGAACAGGAGCATCTTCAAACAGGAAGCGAGCCAGCAGGCGCACCGCCTGCTCGGCAACAGCCGACTGATGGGTCTGCTCCCATCACAAGGAACGAACTCATGACCTTCATGAGGGACTTCAAGGGAGAGATTCAAGAGTTGATCAATAAAAGAACCCGCCTGCTTCAGTCAAAGAGCAGTCGGCCAAGAAACCTTCCACTTCACTAAAGAGGAAGCCAGTTCAAGGGCGAGAGGCGACTCCTCATCCTAAATCTAGGAAGCGGGAGCCACCGGCCCTTGATTTCACAAAATTCCGTTATCCTACAGGAAATAGGAAACCGGTTCGTCATATTCAGGCGGACGGGTCAAAGCAAACGTTCACAGATGCTCGGCTACTGCTAGAGCAGAAGAAGAGTGACCGATTGTCAGAGTCGGCTTCTACTTCAGACTTTCAAGACAGTTTGCGAAATGCCTCGATGAGGCATACTCAGTCGTACCATGAGAGTCAGTCAGGCGGCACCTCCCGTCAGTCCGGCTTTCATAGTGCCCAGGCGGTACCAAACTTACCATTTGTGCCGCAACAACAGTTTTTTATGCAGCCACCTCCATTTGGTGGACCTGCAGCAAAAAACGTCCAACCTATGGACTGGCAGCTACGGTTGCTTAGACTTGGTGAACAGCCGTCGGCCTTCTCCAAGGAAATTACTGAAGCCGCTGAGCCGGCCAAAGTAAAAAATGTACTAGTAGGCGCCTATGACGGCACTACTAACCCAGAAGACCATCTGATGGCATTCACCAACCTGATGTACCTTCAAGGGTTGGATGATCCCACTTGGTGCAAGTGTTTCCCAGCGACTCTCAAGGGAATCGCACAACAATGGTTCGGCAACCTGCCGACTGGTTGTGTAAACAGCTTCAGGACGCTTGCTTACTTATTTGCCTCCAACTTCGCCATGAACATCCCTGCGAAGAAAACGACCCTTGATTTGGGAACAATTCAGCAGGGCGAGAAGGAGGGGCTTCGTTCTTACATCAGGCGGTTCAACCTGATGAGAATACAGATTCAAGGGTTACCGGATGAGGTAGCTTATACTGACTTTTTTAGAGGTCTCAAAGACGGGTCTACCTTCAAATTTGATTTGGTTCGAAAAAGGGTGGCGACTCTTCAAGAGGCCTTGATTGAAGCAGAAGCCTATATACAGGCGACTGATCTGTGTACGATAAAACAGTCGGACGGGAAAAGGTTCGACAAAAGAGAAGGACGACAGAAACAGTCGTCTAACAAAGATGAGAAAAGAAAAGAGGTCTGGGCGGCTGATTCCTCTAAACAGCCGGCCCAGAAAAAGAAAAAAGAATTCAAACCATACTCCCCAAAGTATGTGTTTAACAAGGATAACCAGTTTATCCTAAAAGAAATAAAGGGACGGATCTCAATTGAGAAGCCGGTCCCCATGAAGGGTTCTGCAAACAACCGGAACCAAGATAAAATCTGTGCTTATCATGATGACGTTGGTCATCACACCAATGATTGCATCAGTCTCATGCGGTACCTAGACCGCCTGGCTGAGCAAGGTGATCTTAACACTTATGTCAAGAAATCTACGGGGAACCCTTCCTCAAAAAAGCAGTCGGCCAAAAAGAATCAACAGGCCGACAGCTCCGATACAGATGATGCAGTCGTCTACACCATTGCAGGCGGCTTCTCAGGAGGCGGCCCTACTATTAGGGGCAACAAAGATAATATAAGGCGGTTAGATGTAAATTCCGTTCACCAAGAACGGCCGTCCAAATATACATTTCCTGAGATTGTCATCACTGAAGAGGATCTAGGAGGGGTAAGGGGGCCGCATGACGACCCTCTCGTTATTGAATGTAAAGTGGCCAACCAGAGAGTTGGCCGAATCCTCATAGATACCGGGAGCTCCTCAAATCTCATCAGCAGCAAATGTCTGTCGAAACTGAAATATCAGACGGACTGCATACATCCGGCCTCCCACCCTTTAATAGGGTTTGGAGGAGGAGTCGTCCACCCACTGGGACGAGTAGATTTGCCCATTCGCCTTGGCGAAAAAGGGGAAGGACGACACATGGTAGTCCGATTCCTAGTAGTAGAGGAACTCTCGGCCTACAACATGATTCTGGGTCGACCAACCCTGAATAAATCCAAGGCTGTTATAATCCCGTCTCTTATGTTGCTCAAGTTTGAGAGGGATAATGGAACATTCGGCTCCCTAAGGGGAGATCAGAGGATGGCCCGAGAGTGTTATCTCTCGGATGTCAAGCCCACTGTTACGGCCACTGGGTCAAGTGGAGAAAAAACAGACCTTGACAATGTCAAAGAGAGTGCGCCTGTTCAAGAAGCAGGCGGCAAAAAGAGAAAGGCGTCCCAGACAGAGTCCGCAAGAAAAGCAAGAAAATAGCAATCATTGGCAGAGGAGCGGCCGGATGAGTTCCGCCCTCAGCCGGCTGGTGAGCATGCGGACCTGATCTTAGACGACTCACGTCCTGACCGAACAGTCAAAGTTGGGACGACTGCTCTGAGAAACCTTGGTGACGACTTTCACAACTTATTGAAAGAATACAAGGACATCTTTGCATTTGAAGTCCATAAAATGCCAGGCATTAGTCCTGATCTGGCGGTACATAAACTCGCTGTGGATCCGAAAAAGAAGCCGGTACGGCAAAAGAAGCGGAACCATGGCGAAGAAAGAAGTCAGGCGGCAGCCGCCGAAGTTAAAAAATTACTTGATG